ATATAAATAAATGTGCTATGTGTGTGTGTATATATATGTGAAAGAGATATGCAGTATCATTTTAATTGTAACTGCGTGTATAGTTACATAAGGATTAGTATAAAAGCATGTATCATATGGCGACAAATTTAATAGTAAGAGAGTTCTTCATACGAGAGTATTCGGAAATTCAGACGGGATTATATAATAGCTATTGTTCATTGTGAATTGGTAAGTGAATAAGTAAATATAAAATATCTGTAATGTTATGTGATTTCTAATATCTCTTAATCTCTGTTCCTCTTATTTCTACTTTTATCACTATTTATGCTTTTTTATATATATACTTTTTTCTTTTTTTAATGCTATAAAGTTCTAATCCATTTTCTTTCCTTCTTACAAAGTTTGTGAACAAATTGTATAGTGAAAAAATAATACAAAATCACCTAATCTGTAACAATGCTCAAGCTCGTATGGAAACAAACACAATGATAACTTATTAAATATTACGAAGCCATGTGAAACGAGCAATAAAAAATTATTATAAAACTTGGAAAAATTTTAATTTAAAAAACCAATTACAAACGTTTCGAACTATACTTAGTCTTCTTCAGTGCGCAATAAAACAATAATAATAAATAAAAAAATATAAAAATAAATAAAAATTCTATAATAAAAAGTCGAATTATTTTAATTCGATTTCTGCTTCTAATTGGAACTTTTCGTGTTAAACTATTTTTAATAATTTCAATTTATTGTTAATGTATTTCGCCTTTTAATTTTGACTTAATTATCTAATTTATTTTGACTTTGTATTGCGACTTTTTATTAGAATTTTTATTTATTTTTATATTTTTTTATTTATTATTATCGTTTTATTGCGCACTGAAGAAGACTAAGTATAGTTCGAAACGTTTGTAATTGGTTTTTTAAATTAAAATAATTTTTTATTGCTCGTTTTATAAGGCCTCGTAATATTTAATAAGTTATCATTGAAATTGTATAGTGTTCTAAAATTTGAAAAGTATTAAGTTTTAATTGAAAATACAATTTGAAATTTAAATATATTCAGTAAAAATTCAATTAAAATATAAAGTAATGAAAACATTAATACGTCAAATAATGTTATTCTTCTTTTTTATTCAAACATTTGATTCAAGTAAAACTTATAGTAAAGCAATCAATGCGAAACTCACGCAAAAGCGTCATATATGGATTTTAAAGATACTAAATTCTATATATTTATTTGACAAACGTTACTGTTCTTTTATTTGTTAGCATTATTATTTAAAAAATGTATTTATATAATAATTTATATTGTTTTGCAATTTAAAAAAATATTTATAAAATGTACTCCTATATATGACATAATTTTTCTCGTTTTATTGTTAGTACGCACACACATTGTATATGCAAACACAAAAAATTAAAATATAAAAAGGGTGATTATTTGATTTCGTCCGTCATAATGCACATTAATCTTATGCATGATGTGCTATCAATTCTACATAAATACATATGTCGATATACATATCTCGTTGCGTGCATCACCTAATGCTTATACTAATTATATATGCAATGTATGCTAATAAGCGTAATAAGCTCGTCGTATTTTAATGTCGAAGGGCGCTAAAGATTAAGGTCATATCCCAAGAATTTCAATACGAAACGAATCGCTGATTTTAATTGGAGGCAAAACATCTTGTTTTGATTTGGCAGAAAGATAATATTCGCGTTATGCGCGGATTATCGCAAGATAATATAATGAAATCGGAAACGCGATCGAGTCACAACATGTGAAAACATAAATGTAAAGTTACGGGGATGCAGATAAATATTTTGTAATCGTTGAACATATCGCAAAACGCAAAATGATGCAACTTGCTTTTACTCTTTTCACTGTATCACCAGAGTCCAATAATATGCGTATTGATATCACGTATTGATATCACGTATTGATATTTAAATATATAATATACATTTAATATATATATATATATATATATATATATATATAATTGCTAAAATAAAAATTATATATAATTTTCTGCGAATATATATAGTACTGCTACAATTAAACTAAAAGAAGAACGTTTACTCGAGTCTGTAAGATAAAGCATGATATAATTTAATCACAATTCAACGAAATGGCAAACATGTTTATAAATCAGACACTTGTTCTATATCAATCGCGAATTAAAAATAAATATTCTTTAATATGTCATCCATACAAACACACACAAAAGGATATTTGAGAAACAACGCGATTACGCGAACTTATACTTATACTTTTCTTTTAGAATGAGAACATGTGTTTTCCAACAAATCTAATTTCACGGTTTCTCTCTCCTTCTTTTTCTACGGAACGAAAGTCAATCACGTAAGCATGCCGGTACGGAAAATGAAAAAAGAGCGTCTGCCGCAAGCGTATTCGAACAACGTTATCGAAGTGTCGACGTCATTCAATTTAATAGAGTGCTTCTCGTCTCTCTCGCTCGCTCGCTAGATTGTACAATTTATTCTACGCCAACCGTCGTGCAAACAAAACGGGGCGAGCTATTGCTGAGTAAGCGAAGACGAATCGATTTGGGCGACGTCAAACGCTTGACAGAAGGGAATCGCACCTCGTTCAAACATTCGATAGTATGCTAATTACAGTTCTCGTGTCCGCATTAATCCCAATGTTTCGCAAATTCGTGCTTTGTGAAAGCGCGGCGGTAAAAAAGCATTACACGTCAAATTCATTCCATAACGTGATATATTTTGAAACAAATCCTTAGTTCGTATGCATGGGCATTCGTAGAATTTTTTTTCAGAGCATGATTAATTTTGTTTGTTTCTTATTTTTTGTTTTTTTTTTTTGTAATATTTAGTATTATTTTTGTTATATATTAAATATGCAAATAAAATTTTTTTTTAATGATTCCAAGAGGTATGTATGTGTAATTATTGTTTTAAGATTAAAAAAAAAATTCGCGAAACAAGAATTATTGCTCAGCACTTTATCCCGCCAGCACATCTCCGATATTAATTCTCTCGTCGCTTCTCTTGCCTTTATGCGAACATTTCGTTGTAAAAATGATAAATTCCTCGAATTAATTCTCGGCTCTAGCATACCGTTAACTTTCCGTATTTTACGCTCATTGCGCTAAACAAGAATGGGACTTAAATCACAGATATTACGTGGAAGCGACACTCTTGAAAGAAATCAGCGGCGGAAGCTGAAAGCCCTTAATACTTTCCCAATTGAATCTTCTTTTCCGCGAACGTAACTCACTACCGAACTTAATTAGCGGTCGAGCAATATCCTTCATCTCGATTTCAAATCTCCTAGAAGAGTATCTTCGGAAAGGAATACGTAATAATGCATCTTTCTTCATCTTTCGATCGCAAAAGTTATCTTAACCATTCGTAATTACATTATTTGATAGATCGAAAACGGATTGTCTGCAGATAACGAATGGAACCGATCATCCAGTTCTAAGGCGATTTATGCTACCTTGATTAACTTGAAAGTAAGATTTCGACAGACAAAATTGATGCTTGATCTTTATTTTACTTACTTCACTTTATGATTATACATATATTTTTGTTTCATGATAAAAAAATGTAATTTAAATATACGTAATAAATAATTGAATGTATAAATATATGATAAATAATATATAAAAAGTGTAAAAACACACTTAATATATATTAATATACTTAATCTATTTAATATTGTATATTTGAAAATTAAACAAAATTGTAAAGTTATTATAAATGCAAAAATAAAAGTTGCATAGTCAGAATTTAGAATATATGTATAAAGTGATAGTCATTGGATATATACATTTTTAGAACCAGAGCTCATATAAATTTATTCATTTTGTATATATGACACTTGTATTAAAACTTTATATTTTCCGAGTATAAATTCATCCTGACATTCATTCGCTTAGTTTATCAAGTTAAAAAAGCTCATATATAAAATGTACTTGTGTAAATTTTTCTACACAAAAAATACAAAATATTCAGAGAACTTTACATTCTAAAATAAATAGGTATTGCAATAATTCGTTCTTTGTTTTTATTATGTCATCCTTTTATATTTCTACCCTTCTACAACTATCTATGTCATCGTAGTTACATCCTAAAGGCATTAAAAAAATGAGTAAACAATATCATATTTCAAGTATAATCTGCAAAATGATGTCATTAAAAATAACGAAAACGTTAACAAAGAAGTGTGTCTACACATACATACATATATATATATATACTATACGTTACACTTTACGTTTTAATTTTCCATACTCTAAGAGTCTGCTTAAAAAGAAACCAAATACGACTAAAGAAAGGCAAAACGAGAAGAAACATTAAAGCGAGACATTAGCGTTATGATGCCTCCTCAAAAGTCATAAATCAAGATATTGGATTTTCCATTACGAGCTCTGCGTGTGCTCTTTCTTTTCCTTCGCAATCACAAAATTATTTGCACGAAAAACACTCGCTCTTATATATAATATAAAAAAAATTAAATTTTTCAATCTAAAGATTGTTCAAGATATTCAATTATTAAACCAAAAATTAAAATAAATAAAAATAAGAATGAAGAAAAAATTATGATTTTTTTTATATAAAAAATATATAAATTAATGGAATTAATATAGTAATTTTAATATCAAAAATTAAAAAATTAATCTAATAATAAAAGATTGAATTCTAAATGGAATTCGAGAATTTGATAAAGAATCAAAACCACATTCAAAAGGGGATGTTTTTTCTCGATTTTTAAAAGATTTAATTGAAATTAAGAAATTTAATAATATAATTAGAAATAATAATACATATAAAAAAGAAAAAAAAAGTTCAAATTATTTATATTAATTTTAAATTAAATTTTTTAATTGGAAATTAAAGGTAATAAATTTATACTATATAAATGCCCGCCGATCGAGCAACGAGAGCAACTGTGACGTAGTGTGGCCGATATACTCTCGCGATCTCATGATCCTTATGTGCCGGAAGCGGCCTATCAGTCGAGCAATGATAACGTCAACGGACACGCAGGTCAACGCAGCACTGACACGAGCGAGCTCTACGAACTGTGACGCCTTCGCTCCGAAGAGACCAAAAGTCCTTAGTCTTTAGTGACGGTCTCGCTATCGACATCGACAGTACCATAGTTCCATTTACACCTGGAGCCCTTCGAGAGAGTCCATCAGCTTCCGGGGTCACGCCGGGATCGCGCCTGCGTAACTTCGTATTAAAGGGGATAGATCCGTGTCGGATATATCGACGACGTAAATACGCGCGTCCGGATTGACGTGTCCTCTTTCTGGGAAAACCAACTGGATATCAATTCCGCGATACCGTCCTTCTGATCGATCGTCGTTTCAAAAATGATACCGTGGGTATGACGTAGCGCGACCAGTCCAGCACGATTTTCGCGGCGCAATTCCGCCCAGGTATATAGATGCGACGCACGGATATTACTATTAAATGGAGAAGCAGTGAGTGATTACTCCGTTGAATGGTGTAGCGGAAGCTCGGTTCGCGCGCGCGCGTTGATTTTCTAGATCGAGTTTGCGGTCGCGTATAGATGGATATCGCGCGATGAGAGGTGTTTATCGGAAAAATAAATCGATATGGGATCGTGAGCTGCGACTATAATGATGGCGTATTCGTTCCACGGGATCGGGATTAGTTGTGGTTCGAGGTTCGCTCACGATACCATCGCGTCGGGAGAGTGATTTCGATAACGTCGCGTCGCTGCGTGCATGTGAAGTGATTAAATCGATTCGATTTCTTGTTGCGAGAGATGCGACGAAACGTTCGCTTTACGGGCTGAGGAATTTCTCAAGGACAAAACGCGAACTGTGTCTACATATACGTTCGTTTGAACGTATACTTGTTGCGCAACGAGAATAAAAATGTGAGAGTGTTGAATAAAATAAAATAAAAAATTCGCGCATTTTTGCGACCAGCCGATCGATTGAACTGTCATAAATGCAGTGACATCGAAAGCGATGCCTAGTGATCACGCGAACGCACGTCATCACTCCATTTTACGTCTTCCGTTGAGTGTATTACGAGCTAGAAGAAAATACGACATCCGCCGCATGGCTCGGTATGTGCAAATTGATAGAACAATTTTGCGTATTACGTCGTATATATATATATATATATATATATATATATATATATATATATATATAAAATTGACTAAAAATATAATCGTCATTTCTCAGCAAATTTTTAATTCTTAATAGAATTCTAAATATCTTTGTGGTTGGACTTAAAATAAAATTCTTTGTCAAGTAAAAATTAATTACAAAATAAAACGTGAAGATTTATACTAATTAATAGAATCGCAATTTACATATTTTAATCGCGATAAAATAATTTTGTCATTAACTCTGGAGTTTAAATTCTGAATGCAAAGAAATTTGATTTGTCGGAAAATACATTCTTCTTAATATTCTATATACATTTTTGAGAGTTTGCAGGAAAATGTAACGTGAAGAGTAACTTTTTAACGCGCCGAATCTCTACAGATTTTATTACTACAGTATTTTAACAGTGTTGTAACATTAATAGAAAATTTAATGCCCGTAGTTGTTAATATCCATGTGTAAAAGTTTTGCGCAGTTACCGTATTTGACGATGAGTTCATCATTATGCAAGTATACGGACATTTTCGTTGTACCACGATCGGATTAGTATTCGCATATATTATTATTGCGTTGTCAGGCTTAAAATGTGTTATTCTGTGCTAACAATAATTCCGATAAATTTCCGATTATCTGCACAAACTACATAATGATTAACTCAACATTAAGGTACCATTTCATGTGCAGCATACCATTTCTGTCGCAGTAGTTTGTTGCTATTGGTGAAGTTCAATCGAACGAACAGCAAAGGCAGCAAAGCAGAAGAACACGCAACTAGTTGATTCTAATAATAATTATTATTATATTAATTAAATAATGAATTTTTAAAAATAAAATAGATTAGTAATAAAAATATAAAATCAAAAATTGTACTCTTTTAACTTTGAAATAATAAAAAAAGGCACTTTTAAATAGAAGGTAACATTGTCCTATTTTAGTAACGATTTTACGCCATGCTGGCATATATATTTTTCGCATATATTAATAAATAAATAATTTTTAGAAAAAGATAATACATACGTACATTTTTTATACCTTATTACTTCCACAATGATTAAAAAAAAAAATACACTAGAAATATAATTCTCTTAAAATACTGCTGTTAAAAATTAAAGTCAACTCTGTATAAACCAGATGCTACATTTTCCCTCTTTTAGCCCTTATTAGCAGAATGTTATTTGATAACGCGCGATGTATATTCAGGTATTAACTTTCCCCTGTTCTCGATAAATTAGATTCTCCCTGTCATGTTTCCTCTACCTCCTTTCCATAAACGAGGGGAACTTATTGAGCTTTCGTTTGCTTGCAGACTCGGTGTACTGATACACCGTGGCAGAGCGAACAATGGATATGAGAAGAGCAGAGGCTAAGTAGCTAAGGCTGCAGGTACAGGAACGGAGACGGCGCGAGGGAAAGATTGGAGTAACGAGGCGCGACAGAAAGCGCGAGTGAACGCGAGGGAGACCGAACAGAGAGGAAAGGCTCGGCTATTGTGACAAAGTCACGTGGGGAGACAAGTGTGGAGTCGTACGAAAAATGAGGGAGCACGGTCTGCGAGATGTGTGGCGGCTGGTGTGGTTGCTCTGTCTCGTTCTAGCGACGGGTCTGGCCCAAATATCCCAGGTCTGTCCGAACCACAACGACATCACGCCCTGTTACTGCAGCATGAAGAAATCCGGCCTGGACATTGTGTGCGAGATCACCGACATGCAACATATCAGCAAGGCCATGTCCTTGCTCAAGAGTAGACCGAACCTCGTGATATTCTATCTTAGGCTTAGGCACAACAACCTGCCCAAGTTGCAGGGATACGTGTTTCTTGGGCTCGACATACGCCACCTCACTATCCACAATAGTAGCCTCGCGGTGCTCGAGGAATCCTCCCTTAGTTCTTTGGGTAGGTGTGTTTTGTTTTATTATATTATATTATTTTATTATATTAATCATTTATTATATTTATTTTATTATATTAATCATTTATTCAGCGACGAAGGTAAGAATATTAATTAGAGAGTAGAAATACGAGATGTGTATTGAGACGCGAGTTGTTTGATCTCTTTACAGAAAGAAAAGTTTTGAATATATAAAATAGAAAGCTACACAAGTTATATTTTAATGGAATGAAATCGTAATTTTGTTAATTAAAATACAAAAGTAAATAAAATTCAAAATAAAATATCTTTAAACCTAATTAATGATCGTGACTAACGTGAATTAATCGCATTTGCATTTTCTTATTTAATTTCCAAATATAATGAATTATGAATAGTTTAATAATCATTTTAGCATAATATAACAATTTTTATACAGTTTTATACAGTTACTGCGCAACAAGCTCAATTCTAAATGTTTGAGCATTTAAATTGTTAACTTTAAAAATTTTATTAAATTAATTATAAAATTTAATTATAATTTTCTAAATAATTCAATTCATATATGTTATATGTAAATATTCTTTAAAATCATATTCAAAATACCTTCGTAATAAAAAAAAAAGTAATTCCTTAATTAAATGTGCCTGCATATCAACAAAATATTCAATACCGCAATTTCGAGGCATGTCGCTGCCAACATGGAGTGATGAAAAAAGCTCCGTGGTACACACTTCGTGTAACATAACTTTTTTTTACAGCGCAGAACAGCAGCTATCCTCTGGCGTCAAAAGAATTTCAAAGATTTAAGATCAGTTTTTTTTTTTTTTATATATATTAAAGCCAACATGGAGGCACTCAGGCTCTCACGCGAGGCCCGCGTTAAAGTCGACTGCAAATTTAATCCCGCCTTTAAATTTCTTACCTAGCTCTGGGACTCAATAAACCGCCAGTACCGCGTTTGCGGCCATGCAGATTCGGAATAAATTACTGTAAGGGACTGGAAAATACGTTCTTTTTACACCTGCCGTATAGTCGAGATACGTAAAGATAACTGCATCGCGTGGCCACAGCATACGGAGATCCTTAATGAGAATGCAGCGCTGCAAGGCATCTCTGCGCGACATCGCTCGGCCGCATTAAGACAAAAGTGCATTAAATATATGGGGCTCTGACTTTGTATTCCGAGTTTCACCGCGAGTTAACTGTTTTATAAAACAGAAAGGATATTCGAAAAAGTCTTCATATCATTAGTCAGCGCCAATGTTCTCGCAAAAAGAGAAAAAAAAACATTTACTAATTTTCGCGAAGTAATCTTGCTAAATTATTTTCGTTCTTGCGTATATCTGTAAACTACAAATATTTTTCTCTTTGAAATAAAAAAATTATAAATTGCAGACTAACTATGTTTTTGTATATCAGTATTTTTTCGAAATTATTTACAACAATGCCACAATTTGAAATTTATATCAGATAAGATTAAGTAAAAAAGATATATATCCTAAATTTGAATGATTAAATATGAGAATGCTTTGAAAACAATGAAATTGAAATTTATACAATTAACTACAAATGCAAACGCAAACGCAAAATATTGAATAATTCACTTCCTTACAGGAACGGAATTGACACAGCTGGATCTTTCCCAAAATTCGCTAACTAGCGTCCCAACTGTCGCGTTACGAGATCTTCACCATCTTCTGATTTTGAATTTAAATCGTAACAAAATCACAGCCATTCACAACAAGGCTTTTGAAGGTCTCGATACACTTGAAATCCTAACGCTTTACGAAAACAAGATATCTAGTATAGAGCCAGATGCATTCAAAGGACTTGATAAGTAAGTTTTTCTGCTGACAATAACATTGCAAAAGAATCAAAGAACTCTTTTGTTCAATAAAGTAAAAAAATTTTAATTATATTTACTTAATTAATAGTTAATAAAATAATTCATTGAATTCAAAATAAAGGGCCAATATTTCAGTCTCTAATTATTTATTAGAAAATAAAAACTATTTTAAATCTAAAAATGTTTCTAGCCGGAGACTCAAGAGGCTTAATTTAGGTGGAAACGAACTTACGAGGATCCCAACTCAAGCTTTAAATTCGTTAGATTTGTTAAAGAAATTAGAATTGCAAGAAAATCGTATATCAACCGTAGAAGAAGGTGATTTCGAAGGTAAAGTCGATAACTTCTGCAAGATTCTATTCTATAAGATTTTTTTTTTAATGCATCTATGTATGCGACTTATTTCGAAACGTACGTAATATCTTAAACACACGTGTAATACATTTTTAAAACCAATTCAGCTTCCCTCTGATCCCTTTTTTGCGCAACAATTTTAATTTTCAATAATAATTTTTTTAAATTAAATAATAATTTTTTTAAATCTATTATACACTTGTAAATGAAACAACTTTAATTAAACGTGTGTGGGCATTTCATACAATTAAAATGAAATGGACTCATCGATAAACGTTTTGCCCTTTCAGGATTGAAAGCACTCGATTCATTAGGATTGGCGCACAATCACCTTCGCGAAGTCCCGGCGCGTGTATTCTCCCACTTGACGCAATTAAACTCTTTGGAACTTGACGGAAATCAAATTACTCACGTGGATCCCAATGCATTCATCGGTCTAGAAGGTAATTGTAATTATAATTTAAATAGCTATTTAATCTATTAACCACAGATGTAACAGAGGATTAAAAATGTTTATATTGTCGTAATGTTGTTTAAGTTTTTAATTAAATAAAACAGTAAAGAATTCAACAAACAGTTTGATATATATAATAAATTATTGCAAAAAAGATCTCTATTACATGTAAAAAAAAAATATATATATAACTGACGTCATATTTTATTTATATTTATCAAACAGTTTAAATTGTATACGTATATACACAACATGTCTCGATAAAAGTGTTTCGATACTCGATTTCAATACGGTCGCGGAATTTGCGACGGTCTTATGTTTACTTTACCATAAAATTCTCGCGGTCTTTGCAGATCACGTTCTACTTTATTTATCGTTTCAGACGTCGCAACTGCTTAGCATTTAAATTTACTGCATGCCACGACTGCTCGCCGGCGATGCAATCGGTTCCCTTTGGGTGTAGATATATAAACGAGCAAACGACACTTTACAAACAACCCTTCATCTTGCTACATCCTATAAACGTGAATTCGAATATCAAGATAGTATTTCGACAAAGCCATATTCCACGCGAGCGAACAGTATTGACATTTTCGACGATTCAGTCGAGCAACATATTGCCAGCTTTACGATCAATAGGACAAATTATTTGATTGGAACTTTATTATATAAACAAATTTTATAAATTGAATATTATTTAAATGAATTCTATAAATATCTCCTTTATATTTGATATACCGAAATATTATATTCCCATCAAAAATATCGTATCATCATATATTTTTATCTTTTAAAATTTTTTTATAAAAGATTCAAATCACGTAATAAATATCATTTTATTCACATTAGAATATTTGATATTTGGGACACGCATACACATACACACATTTTAAATCATATATGTATATATATATTACAAAAAATTAATATAATTTTTTTGTGTTTAATTTTTTAAATACTCATTAAAAAGTAGAAACAATTTTTTTACTTAGAACTTTTCAATCACGTATTATTTCGTTATGACGACAGATCCAATTAGAGCTTTTGATTAAAGTACTTGATTCATACTTCCGTAAATTTTTCTCAATTGATTATATATTTGCTGTTACGGGTATAGCTTGATTTGATTATAACTACAATCGAAAGAAGTTCGTTTGAGCGTGTCGCAACTCTCGAAGATTATTATTGATGTTTCTCACGTAACGAAGCTATCTCTGCGAATCAGATTGCTGTCTCACTCATTCTAATATCTATGTTTCATACTCTTGCACAACTGCGTTTTAATTACATTATTCATTTTACATCAAACGAGAGAATCTATTAATTCTTTCACAAAGAAGCTAATAAATAAGGGAGTTAATGCGAAATTTTGAAATGATCAATCTTATACGTATATTTCTTCGAATATATTTTTTAATATATTCTCGTAATCTTCATTCCAGAAAATTTGCAATATTTACGATTGGGAGATAATAATTTGCATTCAGTACCGAGTGACGCTTTACGACGTTTACATCGCTTACGCCACCTTGATTTGCGGGCAAATAACATCACTGTACTTCCGGAGGACGCTTTCACGGGCTACGGAGATTCCATCACTTTCCTTAATCTACAGAAAAATATGTAATATCTTTTTCTTCCACGTAGAATTTAGGTCACATTTAAATCAATTAATTATATCCATTAGAAATTCATTTCTTGCGCAGTTTGATATAATAATCCATAATTTCTTAGCATGAATATAAAAAGAAAAGTTTTCTATGACGTAGATATAAAAAGTGCATTCTGCATCGTAATCTCTTTTCAGGATTAAAACTCTTCCGCCCTTGCTATTCGAGAATCTTAATTCGCTGGAAACTTTGAATTTGCAAAACAACAAGCTCCCACATATCTCAGAAGAAGTCACAGAAAGTATCGTTGACACTCTACGTCACATCGATATAACAGGTAATATTATGTGTTTCTTTTACTATCAATAAATAATACAAGTTCTATGCGAGACGATGGAAGAAAGTAATCATTGAATAATCTAAAATCGCAGGTTCATTTCTGCTTCCTTGAAAAATTGTTTTTAGCAAAATTGCGTCTTATCAAACTCATCAAATTTAGTTTCGAGCGTTGAAAGCTTCACATTTACATTTCGCGCGCAGCTTTATTCATTTTATTTCCTTTCCTTTCCGTTTCTCTTTCACACAGATAATCCTCTGATTTGCGACTGCGACCTGCGATGGTACTCTACGTGGCTCGCAAATCTACGCGACAAGGACGACGAGATGATGTCGAAGAAGCGAACGGTCTGCACGATGGTTTCGGAACATCGCGAGTACTCCGTGCAAAACATTCCGCTCGAAAGGATGGGTTGCGCAGGCAAAAATGCCGGTAAATACTCGTCGTCGACCGGATGTAAAGTGTACGTCGACGTGACGTTACCGATATTCCTTCTCGTCACCGCTTTGGTATAAGTCCGAGGTGCAGGATGACTTCTCGCGATTGCAATACCACTTCGACTTTTCGTTTCGAGACGGTTTTAACGGGATTACGATTTAGCAATTAACGTTTGCATTAAGCGCCGCTAAATAGATATCGCCACGAATCATGATGGGTTTCCTTTATTCGTCAGAATTTTCATCTTTCCTTTTCGAGGTAATCGTGACGCGATAGCGGAGACGTGTCACGATTCCGCGATGAACATAGTCTTGTCGTAGACGTAGAACCTTTTGTAGAGAGACTAAAGTGTGAAACCTTATCATCATACGCGCAATAATTTAATATATACTCATAATGAGATGTGGCCTGTCATCAAAAAAAAAAAAAATAAAAATGACATAAGCGAGCCTCGACGCGAAAAGTTGACAGATCGACACGATCGATTGGATCGTAGGAGATTTTAATCGGAGTCGAATTAAAGCGAGAAAAGTATTACGTCACGGCTCTCGACGTGACGGGAATGATTGATTCCTTCGGAAAAGCGCTTTTTTATTTTCCTCGAGGGGCACGCGAAGACAGACGTCTGTTTCGTTGTGCGAGATGATATATTGAGCATATATATATATATATATATATATAAAATATATATATATATATATATATAAATATATATATATATATATAAAATATATATATATATATATATATATATATATATATATGTAGCAGATCGCGCGTTTTGCTTCTTTTTTGTTGCAAACACGCGTCCATGCGATCGCGATCACGCATGGACAATCATATATTATATATGGTAACCGCGACAATCGACCTTTCTTGAGAACTGAGTACTTTAAATTCCTTCGAAATATTTGCCGGGCATTTCCGCAATATATTTTTCCCTATCCGGATCGCCGGAAGATTCTTCGTCGGTTCGATCCGATTTAATCGCCAGTACACGCGCCATTATTATTTATCCCGCGAAAGTCAGTTTGCCGAAACATTTGGATTTCAATCGAGTCGATAGATGTATATCTAAATTTCTCCTCCGTACTATTTCTAAATTACTTCCGAAAGCTGCAAGATGAATTAATTTTAATGTTTAATGCTTTAGCGTACGCAACAAAAAGCAGACGGAGATTTATTCGTTGGAAAAACTAACTCGATGAAACCCGCGGAATAACAATTCGCGAAAGTACAATAACCATGTTAAAAAAAAAAAAAAAAAAAAACAAATAAATAAATAAATAACCGTTGCGATAATTTCAGATCGCAATATGTATCACGAGCAATCCTTTTCCAATTGTCGAAATGATAATCACAAATGCTGCACGGCTAGACTTTTTAAACGTAAATGACGAGCGGAGTGTAGGAGATTAAACGTGCTCTGTACGGCGGATTTATTTCTGATAATATCACTGTTATTTATAGCGCACTCAGATGCTTTACGATCGAATCGCGCCCATCGCAGTTGCACGGTAAAATACGATAAAATACGCGGCCTCACCGCTGCTCGATATATAATTTGTCAGATCTCTATCGCGAAAACAATATGCAACAGAGTAGTATACCTATACACACTACATAGCAATGTGACATATGTCACTTCACCTTCGCGCGCGACTCGATAGTACAGGATCCGAGCGATCGCGCTAAGATCGAACGTCGATCGCGAGTGCGATCGACACGTGGACCGAAGAATTCTCGCCCGCCAGGTACGCGCGAGGTTTCTTCACCGGAACGTTACATATCAGCATCGTTGCCAATTATTTCGTGGTTATCTGTTATTAAATCTCGCGGCGCGAGGCGTAGTATACTCACTAGCGGATTCGAGTGGCCGGAAATCGGTCGCCCCTATAGGCAGGATACTCCGGCCCACTCGTCGTATACATATCAATACGTTCCTGTTGAACAATATAGTTCGGTGTTGCAAATAGTCGGCGTTCTCCATAATGCTCGCGTGCTCCGTATGTCACGATCTTTTCGCAGGCTTACTAGGTTTATTCTTTTTTTTTTATGTTATTCAATAATTTTATAATTATTCGAACGGATATAATATAAATTAAAAAATAGGTTCGATTTTTTTGCTTAATCTACTTTAATATATATGAATAGTTGATTAAAATTAATATTAATTATAGCGCATTAATTATGATGTGATCAGAAAACGAAATGTGTGTTAATTAGATATTGTGGGAGGATTGAACGAAAATAATAATGACGAAGAAAAAGTATTCGTGTAACGTGCGTTTTTGGAATGTCTCTACGCGGTAGTCGCAAACATTTTAAGATCGCCCCGATACTTACTTAATTCGATTCGCAAAGACTCGATCGGGCGCGCGCGAGGAATGAGATAATGACTGTACTGATGACACGTAATACTCCCAACGATGCTCTCAGCAGGAAACCGACACTTGTCAAAGTGTGGAGCACAAACGCGGTTATTCAAACGCCTCGTTGCGTTTGAGTCGTTACGACTCGGTTACTTTGCTATACGTTTGCGCTAAAATTGCATCTTGCAAAAGGAGGCATCGCATGCAACGCGCACGTGATTTTGCGAGACGAACAATCACGAGGCGCGCGTAATTCCTTGTGTATAAAATATATTTTTCTTCTGTATATTTTTAAATAATAATTAATTTATGCTTATATATTCGGAAAGATATCGTGACATACGGAAATATAAACTATATGCATGTTTTTCGCTTGGAAAAATGTTCGGCGAATGCATCCTACGATGCATCCAGTAACGAACACTTTTCTCAGAGAAGACATATCGAGCAGGGAAACCGATGCGTAGAAAAACGCTGTAGAGTTCATAGGGACGTAGTGCTGATCACAGTGCTAACGCGGAAAGTAATATGTGTTTTGCTATTCGATACATATAATAAGGATAAGGTAGAATTAAGCCTAAGGCATTATTGTAAGAAGCCACGTGGCGAAATACTAAGGACATCTGTATGCGTTATATTGGCGCGTCTAGCCGAGCTTTTCGAAAGAGAATTTCAGAGAATATTTTAATCCTTGACTTCATACTTTATAACACAACTCGATTGCAATAACATTTCGTTATAAATATTTCTTTTTCATAAAATGTCAGGATTTTTGTAATTCGATAAATGTATTATTTCGATGATCCAGTAAAAAGAACTTGTATACGTACAAAAATAAAATATTAAGATCTCATACAGGTGATAATTTAAAGGAAAAAAATTTTCTTAGCGCTTTTAATTCCAATGATGATAGCATGTGAAATGCTGTATTTATCTCGTTTATATATCGCGTTAATTTTACTCGTAACAGTTAGGTTCATGTAACAAGGTCATCTTACATCAACTCTCCGGAAGAAATAGTGTGAGTGATTCAATGCGATATCTAATTTGCGAAAATATATTTAGAAAATAAAAGCTTCTCTTTCGAATGCGCAGGCAGGAACGCGTGACGATATCACATACACACGTACACATATCATTTATACGCCCAATCTACTTGTAAGATAAACTGATTAATTAAGTCGATTTAAGGCTTGACGAAGCTATAACGACTAAAGATCGTATACATATCGTGAACGTACGAGATTTAAGAGAATTTATTTGTTAACATATACATATATACATATATGTACGTTATATATAATATATATATTATTATGCATTATTACGATCATAAAAGATATATATTATATACCTATATCTCTTATATATACATATACGCACTAGATGTTTTTTCTAAAAAGTTATATCAATAACAACAATATAAAACCGCCGGGCATATACTGACGTTGAAAAAAATTTATTTCCATATATATATATTCTGAATATACGCAATATTTTTTCTCTAAATAAAAAAATATTTATATGATTATATACTGCTATATTAAAATTTAAGCAAGTGAAAATAAAAAATTAAAGATACGCCAAATGCGATCCTCTGCAGGCCCTACATTTAGCTTAGGATCCGTACGAGGCATATCTACTATCCATATTTCCCACTTTTTTTATATTTTTATAACTGCATACGAATAATTCACGGGCATATATTATTTTAAAAGATATACAATTATGATTATAAAAAAGGGAAAAGAGACGGCAGTGTGTGAACGGCAGCAAGTTACAAAAAAAAAGTTGATAGACACGAAAGTAAATTAGCAAAGTAGCATAATATATTATATCTGAGTCGGAAGTTTGGCACATATACTCTCTTTTACTTTTTATAGTGGATAAAGAATGCATTTAAAATAATTAATGAGAAAATCTCTTTCGGATCATTTATCTGTAATCAATTATTCCCTGTTCGATATTTTCTTTATATATATATATATATATATATATATATATATATATTTTTGTATTTCTCCTATTTCTAAATTTAATTTTTTTTGCTACTAAATTAATAGAACAAAAGCGTCGTGGCA